CCCCAGCACTGTTCCCATCCCCCAATTCCCCAATAAAAATCTTTAAAAAAAAAAAAGAGAAAAATCACAGAATTGAAGGTTGTTGGCTAGTTTTGTTTTTTTTCATACAATATAGTATGAGTTTTCATATATAAATTAGATGTCATTTGTGTTGATGATTAGTTTTAATAAGGGGAAATGACCAGGAAAGTTTCCCTTAAGAAAGAGTAGGCAAGGGGGTGCTTTAAAAAAAAAACAAACTTATTGGGGTGTTAATAACATTATGTGAGTTTCAAGTGCACACTTTTATAATACATCATCTGTACACTGCATTGTGTGCTCACTACCCAAAGTCTAGTCTCCTTCCATCACCATATATTTGACCCACACCTTTCTTCCCCTCTGGTAACCACTATACTGTTGTCTGTGTCTGAGTTGGTTTTGTTTGTTTGTTGCTTTCTGTTTTATATCCCACATATGAGTGAAGTCCTATAGTTCTTATTTTTTCCCATCTGACTTATTTCACTTAGCATGATACTCTCAAGATCCATCCATGTTGTTGCAAATGGCAGTTATTTCATCCTTATGGCTGGGTAGTATTCCACTATGTATAGGTAGCACATCTTCTTTATCCAATCATTTATCGAAGGGTACTTTGGTTGTTTCCATGTCTTAGCTACTATGAATAATGCTGCAATGAACACAGGAGTACATGTATCTTTACGAATAAATGTTTTCAAATTTTGGTGGATACCCAGAAGAGGGATTGCTGGATCATATGGTCGCTCTATTTTTAATTTTTTACAGAACCTCCATACTGTTTTCCATAGTGACTGAACCAATTTACATTCCCACCAGCAGTGTACAAGGATTCCCTTTTCTCCACAGCCTCTCCAACACTTGTTATTTTTTGTCTTGTTGATTATCGCCATTCTAATGGTGTGAGGTTTGGATCTGCATTTCCCTGATAGCTAGTGAGGCTGAGCATCTTTTCATACATCTGTTCGTCATTTGTCTTCTTGGGAAAGTGTTCAGGTCCTCTGCCCATTTTTCAATTGGACTGTTTGTTTTTTTGTGTTGAGTTGCACGAGTTTTTTATATATTTTGGATATTAGCTCCTTATGGGAGGTGTTGTTTGCAAATACATATCTTCTCCCATTCAGTTGGCTGCCTTTTTGTTCTGGTGATTCTTTCTTTTGCTGTGCAGAAGCTTTTTAGTAGTTTGATATAGTCCCCCCTTCATTTGTCTTTGCTTTTACTTCGCAAGGGGGCTTTTTAAAGCCTGGAAGCTTCTACATGATTTCTGGGAGACCACAGAGTGTGTTAAATAAGTTTCAATTAGTTATCTAGTTGGAATAGACAGTTCTACTTCTTTAAATTTATTATGTATTTTCTCTTAATGTTAGCATGTGAACATAAGCATTTACTTAATATTTATAAAGTTAGAGCAAAACATTTCTTTTTCTTACAGAGAACGCATATTTAATCTAGAGGGGGAAAAATGTGTTCTGAATCTCAACTGGTCCACTTTTATTTAAGGGATGAACTTCCACCTAGTGGTCAATTCTAGAACTGAAGGCATGAAATTCCAGGAGAAAACTTTCTATAAACATGCCTTAAAAAAAAATCCCTTTCAGTGACATCACATTATAAAAAAAAAAATTTAAAAAAGCATGCACACACACATACCTCCATTTTCTGATTTTTCTGAAACACCAGACAGTTTCCAAAAGGCTTTCATCTGTTCTGCATTCCTATAATCACAAATATCTTCAGATTAAATGGCTAGTATTATACCTTCCACATGGAGGGCACTTAATAAATAAATGCATTTTAAATATTTCGTTAGAACAACTAGAGTGCGAAATTTACTTTCAAATACCACCTGGTGAAAATGTTTATGATATAATATAAATATAATGCTTTATCTTTCTCAATGAAGGGAATTTTACCAAATTATGTAATTCTTCTCAATCCTACTGGTCAGAGAAAGGAAAACAATGTATAGGTGGCTCAGTTCCTTCATTACTCAAGAACACACTCTTATTACTGCATTGTTAGTCTATACGAATATTAATAAAGCGGACAAAGGGGTAGGTAAGAGATGGGAGTAACTACTACTACTAAACACTAATCAGACAGGCATTCCTACAGATGTGCCAGATGCTATATTTAACCCTGATTTAATACTTATTATAATCTTTATTTTTTAAATGAAAATAAAATAAAGTTTAGATAGGCTAAGCAATTTGCCTAAGGGTAAAGTTGTCTTAAATCATTCCTGGGTGGTGACAGCAAAACTACTTTTGTTCATTTGGGATTAAGGCTACTGTGGCTGGACTAGTAAAATGAACATTTTTTATAGCATGGTTTCTATGGGAAAATACACTAAAACTTCTCAAACTTTTATGACAACTTTCAGAATTTAGGCTCTACAAGTTGGGGGTTGAAACAAATTTTACAGGAATTCAGAAATCTACGTAATTTACCATATTGCAGGGGGAAGGGACTGCATGTTTGTGACTCCTCCATCCACTGGGACCACCACCTGTATGTTGGAAAGCACACTCGGTGCCACCATAGCTTCTGGGTTGTACTTATAATCCACTCTAAGATCTGTGGTGCCAGCACTACATTTCCAATATGTTGCAAGATTTAGAGGAGTGGACTGAATACCATTTGATGACACCTTTAAAGAGAAAAACAATTATTTGGCCTGAAAAGTAAAAAAGTCATGTTAATGACATGTACACTGGAACACAGGAGGAGTTCACAGAATCAAAAATAAGTGAGGGAACTGTCTTTTTCTAGACAGAGCTCATCTCAAAGGAGTAAGAGTCTCTCCCAAAGTTTGGACCTGGAATTACCTACATCAAAACTTCCATGGTTTTGTTTAAAATGCACATTCCCCTGGGTCCACAGGCTGAAAATCTGATTCAAACAGCTTAAGTAAAGGGCTCAGAATTCAGCCATGTTATCAAGAGATTCTTATTTATGCATGTAATGTTTAAATACCTCTCTATAGTCTACATAGAATTCTAAGATTCTTTCTGAATTATAAGAATTTAGATTTAAAACAGAAAAACAGATGAGTTACCATGAAGTTCTGCAAGCCTGGAGTTCAAATACTTCCAACTTCAAATGTCTAATTTTAATCACATGAACCATCGTAAATAGTAAGATTCCTTCTAATTCTTCAGTTCCTTGCTCAAATGCCTCCTTTTCAATGAGACCTACTCTGATGACCTTGTTTAAATGTACATTGAAAATGCAATTTTCCATCTTAGTCTACATACATTTTCCATTTTCCATACTAATTTTGTAACACAATATTATTCTTATGTTTACTGTCTATCTCCCCATTCTACTCCCAGCGATAAGTAAACACTGAATATTTGTTGCATGAATGATAAATGAACATTTGGAATAAATTTCAAGCCAACTTGAGTGGCAGCAGTGCTTTTTTACTCTTTAAGTGTTTATTTCCTAGAAACATAAGCCATTTTAATAAAACTATCCTATTAAAAATTCAAACAATACAAAGGTATAAGAAATAGGAAATGTATCCTTTGGCATTCTTACGCCCCACTGTTAACATCCTGGTACATATCCTCCTAGGCTTTTTAGTCATATGTGAACATGGATCCATCTCATTCTTTTAATGGCTATAATAATTCATTTAATCAATCTCTTCCTTTGTGGATGTGAATGTATTTAGTTGGTTTCTAAACAAAGCTGTAGTGAATATCCTTTGAACCTAATCTTTTTTGCCCATCTGTGTGATTTCTGGAAGTGGAACTGTTGAATTAAAGGTTACATCTATTCAATAATCTAACAGAATTACCTTCCATGAGATTCTATTCAATTGTACTCCTATTAACAAGTGGTCACAACTCTTAACACAGCCATGTTTCTTATTATTTATCAATTAGATGGGCTAAAACTGGTATCTCATTGTATGAATATTCATTGCTCTGACTGCTACTGACATGGAGCATTTTTCTATAAGTTGGAGCACCTTTGAATAAGTTATCTATTGAGTTATTCACCTTTTCTTACTAATTTACAAGGGCTCTTTTGAGTAAGCTTTTTGGTCTATCTTACGTATTACAAATACTTTCCCCTCAGATTACACATTGATTCTCTTAAGGGTTTGTTTGTTTTAATCAAATATTTTATACACAAATGTATTTTTGTAAAATCTCACTCTCTTCTTATATGGCTTCTGGGTTTTGTACCATTCTTAGAAAGGTCTTCGACACTTTAAGATTTAAAAATGTAATAAAATAACACATATATACACACACACATATACATACATATATTCACCCATGATTTATTTTAGTTATCTTTATGGTTTCATTTATTATTATTAAACCTCTGATAGATGTGGATTTTATTTTGGTTAAAGGTCTGATGAGTTAGGGATTCAGATTAATATTTCCCCAAATCTCTAGCCTGCCACCTCAATACCATTTACTGAAAAACTCATCATTTTCACATTGCTTTGAAATGCTACTTTGAAACAATTTTTCGTTTATTCTTAGGTCTATTTCTGGACACTCTTAATTTGTTCCATTTATCTGGCCATCTATTGTTGTGCCAGTTCCAAACTATTTTAGATCCTGTCACCTTGTAATAATTTTCCCATTAAAACATGACTGCACATTACTGTTTACAACGTTTCTTAACTTATTCTTATAAGCTTTATTCTTCCAGAGAACTTGAAAATGACTTTCAAGTCTCCAAACACAAATACATAAACACTTCTACTGGGGTTTTGATCAGGATTACATTCAATTTATGAGTCTTCCTTTGAATGAATACAGTATTCCTTTCTAACTATATTCAAGTCAGTAAAGATTGTGTTATGTTGGGCAGGCTGAGTGGCGCCGTGTTAAGAGCTGGCTTGGGATGCCAGAGGGCCCCGGTTCGGATCCCACGTATGAGGGCCAGTGACACTGCCCTCTACAGCTAGGATGGTGAACAACAGCTCAACCTGGAGCTGGGCTGCTGTGAGTCGCTGGTGACGGTGTAGGCTGCAGCCCCAGCTGCAGTGGGTTGCCATGGGCTACCGTGTGTAGCCAGCAGCCAGCGTGAGTGGCCAGCAGCCACAGTTAGCGGCCATCCAGAAGCCGGTGACTGATCTGCCTCGCCCGGGAAGAGCGCAATGATGGTGCCAACTTGGGCCAGTGAAGCAATGTCCTCCACAACTAGACTGAAGAACAAAAGGACAGCAACTTGTCTGTTCCCCTCCCCCCAATTCCCCAGTGCTGTTCCCATCCCCCAAATCCCCCAATAAAAAATCTTAAAAAAGATTGTGTTATGTTTCTTCCTAATTAGTTTCTTTATTGTGAATATTTTGCTCCATTCGTTTTCCTGATTGTTTCAAAAGCTATTAATTTCTGTATTAATTTTTAAATTGACCACTTTATTAAATTCTCCTATATCAAATAGTTTTCCAGTTGATTCTCTTGAGTTTTCCAGGAATATCACCAATAAATAATAAAATTTTGGTTCCTCTTTTCTAATATTACCGCTTATTTTATTCTCATCTAATTGTACAAACAAACACAGAAAAATCTTATATGCTAACAGAAATAATGGTTGTCTTTGCCACTCCTGACTTTGACTGACTGCTGTAGGTGTTTCCTTATTAAGAATGAGCTGTTTGTCATTTCAGGTTAAGGACACATTCATGTATTTATATTTACTCAATATTTTAAACAAAAATGGATGATGAATTTGATCAAATTAGTCAAAAATCTCTATAGGATTATTAATAGATTTTCTGGTTTTGAAACATCCTTGCATTCCTGGAATGAACCTCATTTGGCCATGACATATTCATTTAATGCTATTTGTTAATGTTTTAATTTAGGATTTTTTTCAATGACAGGACACTCACCTGATACTTTAATACATCTACATTATAATAAGAAGCAGCTGGATTTTGCTCTGATAGTTTCTTGAGGTAGACAGTAACAGCTTGCATGTTCATCCAAAAATCTTTTGTGTTAGAATCACACTGTGATGGATCACTGCATGTATAAGAAATACTTTTGTTATTTTATTTAACTTTATCCTTTACCCATGTGTAGTAATTTGGTGACTTGGGAAAGACTAATAGGAAGGAACCAAAAGGTGGGAAGAGGGAAAACTAAAGTTAGGGGATAAAGAAAAAAATGTAACAGAAGCTTGCCTGAAAGATGAGAAGATGGATAGTAGAGAGGGATTTAACAATAATTACCACCACCACCAAAAATAAAACAAAATGCAGAAAGCTGTTCAATCATAATAAATAATTTTGGTACTGTCTTCAAAATTAAATTATTATTGCTTCAAAGAAAAAGAAAAAATTTCTTAAAAAGAAATTTCACCTTCAAAACAAAAGTACACAAACCTGAACACAAGTTGTGCATTTGGAAGAATTTGCTCTAATCTGCTAATGTTTTTCACCCTGAAGCATAGCACAGCTGGAGATGGATTGTTAGTGAAAACTCTAATAATTCCACTTGGAAATGATATTGTCATGTCACCAGTGATCTTCACAATGCACCTGAAATTGGGGATTTTGAAAATTTTTAGTTTAAGTAAGGTGTTTTAATCTCTACTTAAAGCATATTTAGTTTACAAAGGACTTTATATATATTACCATAATTATGGATGAACTTTTTCAACTTAATTATAAAAAAAAATGATCCTATGTGAAATGGCATACTCAATTAGCATCATCTTTCTCTAGAATTAAACTCCAAACACAAATGCAGGAACACTGATAACATTCTTCTCCTTGTCGGCTGAACCCATCCCCTGGCTGTCCTAGAAGGTAACACTACCCTCAGTTGCAGCTGTTTTTCCCTCCAGGCTCTACAAAGTCCTGGCCCTGATGGTGGCAGTGGCAGATGTCCTCCTTGTTCCTCACTGCCTCTTCCAACTCGGAATTCCTTCTTCCGCCCTAAAAACCACCGACTTCTTTTGAAACTCATAACACTGTTATACTGCTCGCTAGCTCATCCCTTTCAAGTCATCTTCGACATTCCCTTTTCATTTTCTGAAAATTTTAGCTCCTGACCCACTGTGTGGTAGTGGAACAGTGATAGACCACTATAATTTTTAGTGATTTCAATGTCCACACAGATAATCCTTTCAATACTGTGGTCCTCTTACCTGGCAATTCTACTACATTCTCTAGCTCCTTTCATAATGTCACCTTATTCCCTTTAACCTGCAATATTCCCTCCCCATACTCACAACCAATGAGTTTCCTTTACATTTTACTGAGAAAATAAATAAGTACCATCTCACACTCTCACTACAAAACTCTTACCCTGCTTGACTCTCTATCCACACCTTCTGCTTTCCCTCCTGTTTCAACTGATGATCAGTCTACACACCTATGGCCAATCCCGTCACTTCTGCACTGAAGTTCCTGTACCAAACGACTTCACTCATGCAACTGTCCCCTCTCTTTACTGCAGGGTCAATCTTTTCCCATAAATACTGACTCTTTCCCATCAACACAGACATGCTAAACTGAATCTAATCTTAAACACTAAAATTAATAAAACTCTCCTTTGATTCTACCATCTCTCCTGCTACCCTGTTTCTCTGCTTCCACTTAAGAGCAAAACATCCTGAAAGAGCTGCCTACCTTTAATCTCTCCAAATATAGTTGTCTATTATTTGCATCATCTCCTGCTCCTCAGCTCCCTCATTTTATCTCCACCACTCTACTAAAATTGTTCTTGTGAAGGTCACCAATGACTTCCAAATTGCCAATCGTCAGTTTTTCTTGACCTGTCAGTGGTATCAGATATAGTTTCACACCTTCCTTCATGAAAGGATTTATTCACTTAGTTTCTAGGACACTGCTCTGCTGGTTCTCACCTCACCTCTCTTGCTGCTTGCTGTCTCAAAACTCCTTTGCTGGATCATTCTTGTCTTCCTGTTTTCTAAACTTTGAAGGAGACCAGGACTTAGTTCTCATCAGATCTCTACTCTCTAAGGCCCCTTGCTTTAAGTATACAAATAAATGACTACCAAGTATTTTATCTCTAGCCTGAACCTGTCTTGAACTCCAGAATCATGAACTATCAACTCTACAATTCCATTAAGTTGTCTTAATAAGTACTTCACACTTGGCAATCTACTCAGCAAATCTTGACAGCTGTTTACAAAACATATTCGGAATCTCATTACTACTCACCATCTCATCTGCTAATACCCTTACAGAAGTCACCATCACCTCTCACCTGGACTTCCGTGGTTAACTCTCTCTCTGCATCTCCTCTGGCTCCTTCCAGTTTTTTCTCTTATGTAGCAACCACAATGCTCTTTCATCACTCCTCTGCTTAAAAGCCTCCATTGGCTTTCCACCTCACTAAAATTAATTCCAAACTTATCATCTACAATGCCCAATCTGATCTGGTACCTCTACGGATTTCTCTTTACGCTCCTCCGTGCTTACTTCTACTCAGTGACATGGTTCTTGCTGTTTCTTGATTATGCCAAGCATGCTTCTACCTCAGTCCCTTACACTCATTGGAATCTTCCCTCAGGTACCTACCTGCATGACTTGTTCCTCGCTGGCTTTCAAACATCTGTTTACATTAACCTCCAAAATGTTTTTTCTGATCATTCTATCTAAAATAGTAGCTGTCTATTGTAATTCTCCATTCCCCCACCCCGGTTTATTTTTTTTCATAGCATATGTCAATACCCCTAACTTTCCATTTATAACATTATTCATTCAATATACATTCAGTCATCTAATATTTGAGTATTTACTATGTGTAAGACAATTATAAGTGCTGAGGATACCTTAGTAAACAAAAGAAAGCTCTCTCCTGAGTTTGCATATGAGAGAAAACTAATCAAAGAAACTGTTTCTCTCTGGATCATGCAAATTCATAACAGGGTCTTATACACAGGAAGCACTCAAATATTTGATGAATGAATAATGTTGCATGAAAGGTAGGGGTGGTCATTTACCCAAGTATTTTCTTAAAATAAGGAGGTTAAACCAATCTTTTTTCTTGGATATTCAGCATGCATTTTGAGTCTTTCCTACAAATGTCAAACTTTTGCCAAAGACATACATTAGTCCAAGATTCAGAGTTCTAGCCCCATCTCAATCATTCTGCTCAATACATATGTCAAGCAATAGATGTCATAAAGCCTGAACAAGAATGTAAATAAACAGAAAAAAACCATCACTGCTGATGATTACAGTGACTTTTAAATTTGAAAGACAACCCCTAAATGACTGTATTTGATAGCAAAAAGCAGGTAAAGAAATAACAGAAAATCCTAATCTATGCAGAATCAAATATAACTCTTAAAAATTTACCACCAACACACACACACACACACACACACACACACACACACACACACACACACACACACACACAGTCTTTATAAAACTAACTTGGTGGGGTCTGCTCCTTTAAAGTACGCATTGACAGATTCCGTAAGGGCAATTGCCACAGGTAAGGTGTCCTGATTTCCAAGGCTGACAGGGCTGGGACCTCGTGACACACCTAGAATACATACATTTAATTTGTTAAGTCCTACAGAAAGACATTATTAAATACCAAGACAGGTAGCTTCACAATGTTAGCTTGTCACAAATGACTCTATTATTGGTTTCAATGATGCTCCAAGTATAAATCTGGAGGTTAAAAAATATAGCATAAAAAAAACTGGAATATAATACAAAGGACAAAATAATTAGGAAAACATCACAGTGACTCTTCTTTCAAATGTAATGACACAGAAAGGTTGGGTTAAGGAACATCAGAAGGAAAAAGCCTTTCACTTGAAGAGCTAAAATTACCAAAACAGGGCTTCCAAATCATTCAAATACTAAATTCTTTCAGGTTCTATCAATCATATATGTCAGAGCATTAAAATGAATTTTTGTATTTAAGCTACTTCTAGCCACTAGCTATTTCTAACTGAGCAGTGTAATGTTTCATACACTACTCACTATTACAGTTCTCTTTTACCTCTTATTTGTCTAATGCTTGTATTATATTCCCACATTATTATATTGTATTATATTGCCTCAATAAATGTAACTAATAACATTTTTTATTACATTCCTGAAATAAAGTTCACTCAGGTAAGACACCTTTAAGTCAAGTCATAATCAAGCATAGTGTTTTAAAAGCATAATATAAACAAATTTAAATCCATGCATGTGTTCAGGTTTTGGGTTTTTTCTTTTCTCACACAAACAAAGAATCTGGTTTACTTCATAATAGAAAAACCCCTCAAAATAGTGCAATGCCTTTCTTTTTTTTCCCCAAATACACTCTTCCCGTTTATGCCTTACCACTACAGCTACTGATTGGAGAGTTTCATTTAATATATAATAGATGATGCAATGTGTAAAAATAAGTCAATAGAATAGCTAATTATAATTCTTATTTAAAAAATGAATAACCTAAGTCAGCACACATCACTGAAATTTGAATGTACGCTTTTGTTATATAAATGTTGCACCATGTTCATAGTCATTAGATATTTTTACTGCAGACCGCCTACAGTGAAGGGCTGAGTTCCCTGGAGATACCTGGAGGATTAATTCTGACAAAAATCAGTACTGGTTTTCTCTGCCTTACAACTAAACCTGACATCCTACAAATAGTGAAAAACATATTTTTGTTAGGTTTAGAGGCCAGAAAGATTTTGTGGCATGAGATTTTTGAAGGAATTTTGATTTAAAAGGTTCTGTATAGTTAGAAAAATAGCTCAGTGACTAAAAATACATGGGAACAAGAACTTCTGCTTCTAGGCTACTGGGAAAAGTAAACCCCCACCCAAACAAGACAACTTAAAATTTCATATAAAAATTAAAAACTCAATATAAAAATTTATTCACAGAAATCATAATAGCTACTTTACTAGCCACTAATATGTGCCAGACACTTTGCTGAGGTGTGAAAAAATGTTGCCTTTTTGAACAAGTAGTTTTGCAAAACAGGAGCATAGTTTGTTGGTGAGAGATGGGCTGGAATGATGCAAGATATGAAAATGAGCCTGGAGAATTGTTTATGACCCAGAAGAGGGCATGGAGAACCTTTAATTTTATCCTGTTGGCACTAAAAACCACTGAAAATGTTTAAGAGAAACACGATTAGGTTTTTCTTTTAGTAAGATCACACTGAACACAGGGTAGATCCTCGATCAAAGAGAAAAATGACTGTCTCAGGGATTCAAGTTTAGATCAGGTGAGAGATGACAGAAGTGAGAGATAAGGGCCTGAGCAGTAGTTTGGGGGATGTGTGTAAGAAAATGTTATGTGAAAATGTTAAGACGAAGTACAAATTCACTGATTACAACTATGCAAATATATGGTTGTGTACTGGGGAAATTTCACTGTAAATCTAAATTAATTCAATCAACTTTTAAAAAAATGTACTGTTCTAAACTAGAGGGTCATTAGAAATTCAGGAAAGCATATTTTCAGAGAAAGAGGAAGGTTATAGTCTTTTATTAAAGAAAATCATATTTTATTAAATATGAAATTGACTTTTTCCATTAAATAACCTACACATGGGTATCTATACATAGTCATGGGTAATGCTAATGTCTGCTGCTGCTTTGACATTAAAAATCAAAACAAACCTATGAAGTTATTCTTTTCAATTATTCAGTTTCGGCATATAAAATGAGAGTTCTTAAAATAGTTTCCTTATAAACTGTTAAGCCCACTATTCAAATATTGGCAAATAAAGTACTGAAAATTAGGCAAAAAACTCAAAATCCACTGAACATTTTGGCATATGCCCTTTTGTATTTTCTATTCCTTTCAAGATTATATTGCATATGCATACCTCAAAAAAACGTCTGACACAGGTAATATGTACTTAAGTCCCTAAAAAAAGTCTAAATTTATATCCCGAATAAATCATTTTCTAGAAATAAAAAATTCCTTGTATTTTCTATAAGGATAGTGTATATTCCAATTTTGGTTTGATTGCTCCACATTTAAACAATGGTATGTTTTGAAACTGCAGAGTATATAACATTGAGGATAAGTAAGGGGTACGTTTCCATAACAGTCAATGGATATTTTTGTGGAATTCCTTTTGGCTCAGGAGTAGAAAACAGAGGCTCACTCCCCAAGTATTTCCTGCCTCAGTGCCTCTAATTTCAGCTCACTTACAATATGGATGGTTTTCGTATGACAGCCATTGCTCTGGTAGTTTAGATATTGTAATTTTTTAAATGACACAGTCTTTCTGCTTATTTTATTATCACTTTTATCTCTGGTTCTGATAGATTTAGAATTAAGATTTATTGATATTTCTTAATGTTGAGAGAAGAAGAGCAGGGAGATGGAGGGTAATGCAAAAAAACTGTTTTTATAATTAGGGATTTGATATCAACGGAGTCTCTATAGCAACTGGACATAATTAGTACAAAATTGAGATAGTTAAACCTTAGAGTTATTCTTGATTTCTGAGACACCATACATTGCTGGAAAAGGAAAAATTAGATAAAGTATTTTAGAAAAATTAGATAAAGTGTATTTTAGATACACTTTAGGATCATTAGTTAACACATACATTTGCTTTCAATACAATACCTTGTGAAGTCTCACAGTGCTTTTCAATTTCAGAGAGTGTCCCAATCAAATTATCATCTTCTATCATATTTAAATAAAACAAAATATTGCAGGAAAAGAAAATACTTTCAAGAAACAAAAAAGAATAAAAAACATCTAAACAAAGAGCTGAATATGCATAATAAAGAATTTTTTAGGTAGATTTAAAGATCCTTTGTTGTACAAAATCCACATATATCCTGCCTGCCTATGTCATCATCACTGTCACCAACTTGTGATTCTCCTATTGCCAACCTTGGCTCAAACTAAAAACATATGTACCAACTCAATCAAAATTAAAAGTTTCCATCACAAAAAGAAAACCTGCTGAATAATCCAGAGATAATGGAAAAGAATTAAAGCTAATTTTGATTTAGACCACCTGTCTGATTTCTAATAGGTCCTATCTGTTTTTCATGACTAAAATGTAGATTCTGCAGAAACAAAAATTATCAAAACCATATATACAAACAAAAAATAATAAAGTGCTCTTATAGCAAGCAAACAAACTTATTAGACATATTGTGTTTACATGAAGTTAAAAAATGGTAAAAAAATACTATGTTCATAAAGGTATATAAAATAAGATTGGCAACATCATGTTTAGAAATTTAGAAATCAAATCATTTTTTCTCATTTTACCTATATTACTTATGCCATTTTTAAAATGATCATACATACAAGATGCATTTCTCCTGTGAGTTCTGACATATAAAATTATATATAATTAAATCAGCTTAACTAGGGCTGCGATTCTCAAACTTAGCATGCATCATAATTACCTGGAAGGTCTGTTCAAGGATTGCCAGCCCCACTCCCAGAGTTTCTGATTTAAAAGGTCTGTATTTCTAGTAAGTTTCCAGGTGATGCAGACACCTTGAGCTCTACTGAATTATGCTTAGTTAATAAAAATCAGTGATTTACATTATCAAGGATAAACCCATTATTATTTAGAAGCACAGCAACGGGGACTTTTATAATTCTGACAGGAAGTTGCTGCTCCCGAAACACAGCTGCTTTAAGTGGCTTTGTGCTTTGTTTATTGTACTAACAGTGGGTGAGAAAGACAGTAAGAATTTGTAGGAAGAATTGAATAAAGGTGATGACAGAAAAAAACTCTTGAGCAAAATCTAGATGTAACACTAAATTTGTTCAGTGAGGTTTAGGTTTATATAGCTATACCTTAATATCTACTTTTAAGTCTTTATGATTTAAATTCTTGTAGAAAAATATAATTCATTGCAAGCATAAAACCCCTTTCTTTCATTGAATCAATTGTTTTTAAAACACAATCTTTCTTAGGAATGCAAGTATCAGGCCAGGCCACAGTAGAAAGGAGTGCATTATATTTTGCCTTCAACTACAGTATTTATATTGGTCAGTAGTTTATACATTTGATGCATTCTTAACAGTGCTAGCCATGGTGAAAATTCTTTTATTAAGATAATATAAACTGTGAGAAAGAAAATGAAACTGTGGCTTGTTTGATAATGCCAAATGTGTTTCCAGAAAACTAAAAATTTCATCATCATCCCAATTAAAAAGCAAACGACAACAAAAAACTCAGCCTGATCATACTTTGGATTTTAACTTTCACATGTAACCGGTGATAATTACTTACCTACTGTTGGAGTATTGGCAGCACTTAATGAAGCAGAAGATGAGATAGAGGAAGAACTTTCTGCCCGGGCTAAAGGAGCGGCAGGAGGTGGGCTGGTATTGGCTGTTACAGGTGGGCTGAATGGCCTGGGCTTCAAAACAAAAAGTTATTTATCAAAATGGTAAAACAATTCCTCTGTTACCAAAAAAGATTTTTAGGTATCAGGTAAGTTTCATTTTAATACACTAAACCAAATTTATTGTGTTTAAGTTTAATTCAAAATTTGAGATGCCATAGGTCAAATAATTTTTGAGATTGTATTAAAAGCTGAAAAAGCTATTTTAAAATAATGCATCAACAGAATCTTTGTACATAAAACATTTTTTGTATTTCAGAAAGTGTGCTTAACACAGATTCTAAGAAATTAAATAAACAATATGAAAGCTTTTCATACATACTGCCAAACTGCTTCCCAAAAGAGTTACTGGCCTTAGCCTACTGCCTATAAATCAACAAAATATTTCTCTGTATCCTTGTAGCAATGAATGGATGAGCCTCAAAAGAGGAAAAGAAAACATTTTTTAAAACTTTTAGCTAATTTGATAAAAATAAAATTGGCACTTGCCCTTTTATGAGTTGTATGTACTGGCAGTGCCAAAAAAAATGCAACCATTTTAAGAAATGTTATCTATGTATTACTTTACGAAGTTGAATTGAATTACAATAGCAAGGTGTAGTATGAAGTTCGCTCAAAAGATGGTGTTAATCAAATGACTGCTGGTCTCATTCATTGTATTACAAATTTAATACGGATTTTCCTTTCTTAAAACGTGTATACATTTTTCTGGCACCCTCTGTATTATCTTTGATTTAGTTTTGGGAAGTCTTAGTATTTATTACCTGAGCTTTCATTAACCCTTTGCTCTATTTGCCACAAGTATGTCCTCCCTAAATATTGCCTGCCCTTCGAGTCAACACTTGTGTGGGAGCTCACTGACGGAAACTCATCCTGACACTCCCCCATGGCAGTGCAGTTTGTATCTGCACTTACGAGAAAGAGGCACGACCTGCCCACGCCTTTACTGACTGCTCCTCTGCCAACTGGCTATGCCTGGACTCAACACTATATTGCCTCATTTTGCTCTGGCATTTTGTATACTCAATCCACCTTGCGTGGGGAAATTCTTCTGGGGTTCCATCCTGGATCTACTTCTGGTTCCCATCATGGTTTTGTTTTGTTTTCTGTTGTTTTTTTTCTATGTGGGATCCGGAAGCCAGCTCTTAACCAATTGAGCCACCAGGCCGGCCCCGCATCGTGTTTTTGTTTTGTTTTTAACTGCATCCAAAGGGTGCTCTGAAGTCAAAAAACAAAACAAAAAAAAAACTGTCTGCCCTTTGCTTTTGGTGTTTACAGAGCTGTCCACCTTTTCCTTTATAATTTGTTTTAACCGAGAAAGTTAACACCATACAGAAGTTTGAGAAAATGTTAATTCTATTGTCTTCCTGCTTTTCTACTTACACATAAAAACAAATATGAAAAATAACACCAATGCATTTATCTTTTACCTTGGTGAACAAATTGTTTTCCTTCCAAATTCCTAATTGTTCCAGTAATACAGTAGTAATACTTTCCTGAGGTGTTTCACTTTTAAAATAAGGCATATTTAGTTTAATTAAAAATAACCTTTCTGTTTATAAAAGTATTAGCAAATACAGTATTTTGTGCCTGCTATGTATTAGGCCATGGGTTAGGTACTAGCTACAAAGCAGAGAACAAAAAAAGACACTGCTCCTGTCCTCAGTTATTTAAGGGAATTGAAAAACAAAAGCTAAAAACAAACAAACCTTATAAGCATTCATACACTAAAATGTCAGTTCTTCATTGCATGAACATAAATTTACAGATATACACTTTTACAAGAATTAGAAAGTACTGCCCAAAGTGTTCTACAATTAGTAACCCCCCATCCTCATTAACTACATTAGAACTATTAGTTCCAGAGAAGGCTTTTGGATGACTCGTTGTTATGGAAAATACAGTTGTTTGTATACAGATGGGGGTAGTGCAGGACATGAGGCCAAACAAATATTAAATTCAACAGCTGATGTGAAACCTACAAGTTTGGAAAAGTCTTGAAATTAACTACTGTGGGGGACATGTCTCCTGTGGCAACATGGCCTCATGAGCAATATAATGGGTCTGCACTTCTACAATTCAGAATGTGCATTTTATAACTTTTCAGGAAAAGGCAAAACAGCTCTTTTCTTATGTGGTTTTCTCGTTTTAGAATGACACTGTCTAGAACCATAGCCACTGACACCTGCAATGTGGCCAGTCCAAATTTAGATGAATTGTAGAATACACAGTGGATTTTGAAGACTTAGCATACACAAAAGGAATGTAAAGTCTCAATAATTTTTATACTGATTACATGTTAAATATTTTTTATATAGAGAGTAAAATAAAGTATATTAATTACACTGTTTTTACTTTTTTAATGTGGCTACTAGAAAATATGTCAATTGCATTATATTTCTATTGGACAGCACTGCTTACAAACAGTGGTTCTCAAACGTTAGCACACATCAGAATCACTTGGAGGGCTTGTTAAAACACAATTGCTGGACCACTCCCCAGAATTTCTGATTTGTATGGGGTGGAGCCAGACAAATTGAATTTCTAGCAAGTTCCCAGGTGATGCTAATGGGACCACACTTTGAGAACCACTGTTCTGGAACAATGAGAGGGTCTCGGTAGGGATGTGGTTAAAGACACTTTCAGAAAAAATGCACACGTAAGCATGCAAGGAAAAGGGCACTCCAGTGTACAGCTAGAGAGAATCCAAATCAGCACAACCTTTCTGTGGGCAATACAGCAATAATCATCAGGGGTCTTAAAAATGTGCATACCATTTAGCTCATGGCTTTCACTTTTTAAAGTTTTATTAAGGAAATAATTTCTGCAAAGAAGTAAACATAAGAATATTCATTAAGACACTGTTTAAATGAAAACTTGGAAATAAACTAAATGTCAAATAAAATTATAAAAACTTTTGGAATTTTAATGTTGACAGTGGTATAGAAGACACAGCATTTATGCTCTGCAGCCACTTCAAATAGTGGTCCCTGAAGCCCTCAGAGAGTGGTTTCCAGAAGGCTCTCAGGGCTGGGGCATGGAGTAAAGGGTGATGTGAAGGATTCAACCACAAAAGTCCAACTTTTACTTAATTAATAGACTTACAAGATTATCTGACTTTAAGATTACTTGACAAAGGATTCTACCACTTTAAAGAAGTTTGAAAACTATGGAATAATTCATGATATAGAGAGACATTCCCAAAATATTTTCAAGTGAACAAAAAATATGTAAGATATGACCTTTTAAAAATATACATATACCATTCATAGTAATTAACTTTTTGAATAATTACTTGCACTTGACAATGTTCTAAGTGTTTTTATATATATTAACTTATTTAAGTATCACAATAACCTATTATCATTATAGCTCTTTTACCTATAAGGAGACTGAGACTCCAAATAAATAACTTGCCTAATGTTGCTCAGGTAACTAGTGGCAAATAAACTTGTGCTTTTAATAACTATATTTTACTGACTCTGAGTAAATAAATACTTGTGCATTCAAAAAATAATGAAAGGATATATATAAAAATGTTAGGTGGTAAAATAGCAGGAATTTTTATGTTCTTTCTGTGTTTTCTCCATTTTCCAAATTTTACAACATGATTATGCACTGCTTTTGTAATCAGGAAAACACCCAGTTAATAAGATGTAGTTAATTTTTATATTACTGCAATAATAACCATCTCCTTGGCAGCTTGTATTAGTCTTTCATTTCACTTCCACAAAGTCTGTTCATTGGGGTGGGGGGCAAAAGAAAGATGTCACCATTTCAACACTTAGTGCTCAAGCCTTTTCATTCATGAAACATTTTCTAACCATGTACCCAAGTGACAGGTATTATGCAAAGTATTAAGGACATGAAATTGGCTAAGGCATAGTCCAGTGAAGGGAACACATACAGAAAAAGTATGGGTAGAGCGGCGGAGAAAAGAAATACAACGTGATTTGTGCACTAAGAGAATATAAGCAAAGTATATGGGTATAAGGAAGAGAATGATTAAATCCACTGGGAGAGAAGTAATGATCAAAGAGGGCTTTGGTGATATTTAGCTGGGTCTTAAAGAGAACTGATAGGCATTTCAGATAGAGGGAGCATAGTAAGAAGACATGGATGTATAAAAGAGCATGGTGGGATTGGGGAACAGTGGAAACTTTTAAGTGGCTGGAACCTAGATTACAAAGAGGAGAAAGTTATACAGTTAGTCTGGTAATGCAGGTGGTTGAAGCAACTTTATCAAGAGCCTTGTATATTTAGCTAAAACATTCAACCACATGAATTATGGGGAACCACTGGAGATCAATATCCAGGAAAAAAAAAAGATTAAGCTCAACTTTTAGAAATTTAATTTTGGCAATTAAACTGGCAATTAGTGTAAAAGATAAAGCAAAGCAGAATAGATCAGAGGCAAAGACTCTTCTAAGAGCGCCTCACTCTGAATAGAACCCATAAAATTTCTTTCATGATCTGACAACTTTTAAAGAACAATGTTTTTTTTCTTTCCTTTTTTACAGCAATATGTACTTAACATGTACAAGTCAATGAAGTGAATTCCAGTTTCCTTATGTATAAAATAAAGAAAGCTGGCCAAGGTGCCCTCTATGCATCTCCTGGCAGCACACACACCCAAGTCTAAGAACAACAGGCTGCCATTTCTTCCTTAATATTTGACTTGAAGCAGAATTATATAAAAAGTCCTCTTAATTGTGAAACAATGGGTACTGAATAGTATTTTTATAATATGCTAACTTTCTCGGGAAATCTCTTTCTTACTCCACAGGTATAATCACTGAGGTAATATGGGGAAGTGAAGAAAGTGTTGTTTGGGAAAACTTTTCTATACTTTGAAGAGTCGAGTAGAAAATTCCAAGCATTTATCTCTAAAGGGGCATATAGAGAGATATCATTTGCATCTTAAAACAGTTATAATTTAAAAAAAAAAGAAACACCTGAGTACATACTATTTCATTTATCCCACTGAGTTTGCCTGAAGTAAGCTTTGGTCTGGAAGCAGGCCTTGGAGGTGGGACAATGGTGCCTACAGAAAGAGGAGTTGTGGGCCTGGCTGGTGGGGGGAAAAAGAAAATTTGAAGAAAATCATTAGTATGTAGCAATCCTTACATAAAGACATTCTATTATAGAGGAACTGTTAGGATTCAAAGCTCATTTTTCAGGAGTTTTAATAAAATGTAATTATAGATATTTGGTGAAATAGTGGGAACCTATTAATCAAATATGCTTTTTTTGAAGCTACTAATATTATACCTGGAAAGAAAAATCATTAAAATCATTAAATTTTCAATAAAACTGACACACATAAACTGTATTCCCGTTTCAATTATTTATACATATAAAAATTAAGTCTGATAAATTAGCTGGCATAAACATACAATTTAAGGCCTAAGTTTTTTAGTTTATTGCCCACACATCTACTTTACAGACAGTAATGCAAGACTGAAACACCTTCAGAATAATAACATGAACTCTAAATAAAACACTTACCTTTACTGTAATTTGACTTTTAAGTTAAATCACACTGTAACATTTTTGTGACAATTAAAGTATTACAAATATCTTTACTAAAACCATTTCCCTAAATCACTCTTATTTTTGTAAGTGTTGAAAATAATATCTTAACTTTCCCTAAATCCAATATAAATTTAGTGTTCATTGTTTTTCAACACCATTTGCAAATTTTGAAATTTTATAAATCAGAAATATTAACCTCAGTATTCCTAACTAAAAATAACTCTCATTGTGGTAGAAATTAATGAATGGAATTCAAGTGTACGTCATCAGAAGTCACAAATGGATTAGCATAATCAAAGCAAGAGTGAAGAATGGAAACAAATGTTTAAATCATCCTTAAATAATTTTTAAATCCCTTTGGTACATTCTAAAAGATGGACCTGTAATTCAGAGAGACTGAGGAATATAATATGGATGGTGAGAAATATATTTCAGTAAGTTCTGTAAGTTTACAGATGTACAAAGATAAAAATATACGAATAGGCCTAAATATATACATGGGGAAACAAACAATAAAGCTGAGGACCTTGGTCAGTGATGGAGGAATGAAGGTGTGAAAAGCAGGACCATGAAGGTGGTAGGGAGGTAGTCACACAGGAGTGAAAGTAAATGCCATAGGGGTTATGAAATCATTTAGAAATTGTGTTATATGAAGGGATCAAAGATGAAAGCAGAGTTTAGGTTGCTTGCAGAAAACTGGCAATAAATCCAGTTTAGTTTCTCAGGCTGCTGCCTTTGTCCAGTCAGCACACGTTCTTTCATGCTGTACTACTACCTGAAGCTGTACATTGGAAGAAATGTACACCAACCTGAGGACCACAACGCTTCCCTGTGCTATGTATGACGTATTTATTTTAAACATATGTTCATTATTAATAAAACCAGCACTGACCAACACTCAAGTTATTTCAAACTTGTGAGAGCTTAATAGACATGTACACCTGAAACTTCATTACTGATCAAGTAGCCTATCCAAATGGCATTTAGATGGACTCAAAACCAAGCCTACAAGTATTAAGTTGAGCTCCTTCAAACAATCAGAAATTGCTTTTTGAGGAAAGCTAATAACAAAACTTATCAACACCACTGTTTATAAATGAATTAATTATAAATTAACAATAAATTTATATATTAGAAATGAATCCATCTGAATATGCCAATTAAGTGTTGCTTCTACAAGCCTCTGAAGGGCATTACCACAACTGTTTACAAACTTAAGTGTCTTAGTTGTGTTTTGTTTTTTGGTAGTGGTAGTGATGGCGTTGATGATGGAGTTCCAAGAAATGTGTATCAGATGCAGTATTTCAAGAAATAGAAAGTGACCTGTAAAGTACAAAAACATAGGAGATAAGACCTAATCTAGATCTAGCCTGTGACATTACCTAAGAGGGATAGACAGACAATGCATGTTGCCCACACCATTCTTTATCTGGACAAAAACAGACACTAATCTATAATCCAGAAGCAATGATGATGATGATGCAGAAGAAAAATCAGGAGCATTGTCAGCTTCTTCTGTCATTAATTTTTCAGGACATGATATTATGTATGGCAAAGGTCACCTTGATTATTAGATTCAGCTGTTGAAGAGCTCCCATCCAAAGCATCAGGACAGCTGAAGGTATTTTCAGCTTTCCAATACGATCGCTGGAATGCTGTCTGAGCTCCACTGGAGAGATGAACCTCTAACAAATTCATTGATAAAAGAAATCCACTGATTTTGGAGCAATGAAGCAAAAGGAAACTTATTTGTGTTCTCTGTTACAGCAGGACAGCAAAGAGGGTTAATGGAAAAGTCCAGTGATGGGCTTTTAGACCCAGAATCTGACCTGGTTTCAAGTAAAGATTCAATTATCATACACCCAGACAGATCAATGGGAGAGAAAGCATTGTTCCTATTCTGTTCTTTAAGGTCAGCTGAAGGAAAGAAAAACAACTGAAAGCTAGAAGCAACAGAAAAATTCTAGAACTAAAATATAAATCTCTATAGCCAAACAGTTATCTTGTTTCAGGTTAATATTATTTTAATTACTCAAAACTAGAAAAATTTAATCATACATGGAACAAGAGCATGAGCTCAAACTTTATATTAACTGAGGAAAATAAGTATGAGCATAACAAACTTAAAATACATTAGTAAAATTAGAGTTCCAAAAATATATAAAGACAGAGTTATTCCTGTTTTCTCAGAGAGCAAAAGGTAACTAACAGTCTGTTAAGAGTCTAAAAAGATTTGACAAGGTGTTAAAGTGATGGTGCTGTGTGCATGTGTTATTCAATGAAGTGCGTGACTGGTGATAAAACTGTCATAGGAAGTAAGATGGACTAAATCAGTGTTGGAGTTAATATAAAAAACCAGCCTGATATTTTTCTAAAGATAGTTTTAAGAGATTTTTGCAGAACACAAGTGCTCAATTAACCCATAGGCAGAGAAGAAATGATCTACACTAGTTAACATTTATCAAAGGAGAGGACAGTATGAGATAGTTATATTAAATTTTAATATATATAAATGTTTATTTATAGTCCACATGGTAAAAGAGGCAACTGAAACTACTTCTGTACCAAGCTCTAAGCATCCTTTTTAAACATAAACCAACACTGGAAGGCTTAACATACCAGTTATTAACCGATTGGTTGGAATTATTTTCTTATTCTTTCAGCTAAGATGAGGTCACTAATGAATTAAGATTTTGAAAGAATAAAAGAGAATAGGGAATACTCTGACAACGTGGACCTTGATAAGATGTGAAAATGGGTACGTAAGTAGACGATGTTAGGACGGGAAAGAGGAGCATAACAGTAACAGGTGGAAGAAAACTTAAAGACAAAACGCTTATCTCACAATTTCACTTAGGCCCAGTCTAACAGTACAGAAGAACCACAAATGATATATTCATCAGTTTGATCAGTAATTATATTCTGTTCCAGGGAAGATTTAATAGTAATTACTCTATAACAATAAATATCTCTTCAACATCACTAATATTTTTTGAAGAGCAAAATGATTTATGACATTATTTTTCAGACCAAATAGGAAGGTTAAAAATACATACCAAAGTTAATTTAAAACTAGCAAAAGGTTAATAAATGTTTTATTATATCTTAGCTACTAAACATCAAATGACTGAATAAAATGTATCACTTTTTACCTGAAATTGTAAGTGATATGGGTGAAACATTCTTTGAACAGGTAGCAAGGGAAAAGAGAGAACTTTTTTGAAAAGGAAGAGATTGTGCTAAAGAAAATAGCAAGAAACAAAGGGCAGAGTTAACAAATATTACTAAAGCCTGTGATACCAAAGTGAAACTTTTTATTAAAAATTTTAAAATAGTTCATAAAAGAATCTTAACAAAATTGAAAAATACCTCTCAGTACTCTCCTTCATTCGAAATACAAACCGCTGCCTGACATTCTTACTAAACAAAAACCCCCCAACAACTTAAGCTTTTCCTGTACGATTACTTTTCTCATACCATCTATTAGTCAAGTTAGTTTTATAAAACTAAATAGTCACAAATGCCCACTGAGAAAGGCTATAATGAAACTTCAGAAGATGTTGAATTACCTATTGACTATTTCTTGCTGTTTTACAAGTATTAGGTACACACCACCTTCCCTTCAAAATTCCAAATTGTTTTGGGGTAAGGTTGCCTAAAATCCAATTAAAATTTCTTTTTAAAATGTTAGTTTCTAAACAGTCTAATTTTAAATATTAGTATTCATTTTATTATTAATAGTAAAAAGGCTTATTGTGTAAATCTGCCAGAGTGCAAAAGATTTTAGAACTAGTAAGATCCAGGTTTTAATTTATTTTTAATCATTTCCTAGTTATATGATCTTAGAAAAGTTTCTGATTATCTCTGAGCTTTACTTTTTTCATCTATACAATTGGGACAATAAAAACAACTTTATGGCAGTTAATGAGGTGAAATTAAATAACGTGCATAGCTCCTGGCAGAGTGACATAGCAAGAAACTTCATCAATAAAAGTTCTTTCCCTACCATTCCAACACTCTCTGAACCCCAAATACTGTATAGTATTTCTGAAATCCCAGAGAAGCAGCTTAAAGATCAACTTAAAGTGATTTTATTTTCTTGCTTTGAACAAGCAGTGGTTTTATTAAATGTGCATTGTTGATCTCTGCTTTGGTTGTTGGCAAATGGGATTTTACACTATGAAGAAAAGAGAAACTTAACGTATTCTTGCCAAACAACTACAAAGCATTCAAGTCCTTTCAGATATTGCTTGAGAAGTGCTAAAACCTTTCCGGAAAGCAGTTTGACAATAAGTATCAATGAGTATATCTTGTGACTCATTAATCTTATATTGATAAATTATTATAAGAATATTATGAGATGTGAACAAAATTTGTTATATTCATGGATGTTCATAATACTAGAAAATTAGATGCAACTTAAATATCCATCAAGAAAGGACTGGCTACATTAATGCACATCTATGCAGTTGAATTTTATATATAAACAATAAGAATTATTTGGGCATCAATATGGGAATGATGCCTAGAAGTAAATACATAAATGAAAAAAAAATTGATTTTGATAAATTTTTATTGTTTAAGCCACAGGATCTTTAAGCTAAGTTAACAAAACCAGTATAAAATCACTTTTATCTGGCAATATGAACAGAGGACAAGTTAAACAATTTTTTGATCACTAAGTACAACACATAAGTGATGAATAAATTATGTAGGAAAAAGGAACTACTGCATTCCTCAGTTTAAAGAATATATATGTGTATATATATTTACCTGATGATGATGATGATGAAGCTAGTGAAGCTGAAGATGAATCAAGAGATGGTCCAAACAGGGGGTCCCAAGCAAGTAAATCACTGGTCCCTTTCCTATCATAATATTTTAAAAATAAGGATTTTCACAAAGGAATATTTTATTAGTATAAAATCTACACACTTATTTCAGAGAATTATAATCGCTCAATATATATGATTCAAAAGTTAGATATTCTACCAGTAGAATATGTGAAGAAACTTAACAAATTTATTAAGCCAATATTCGTTAACAGCTATAAGCAGAATCTTGCGGCAGGGGTGAGTAGAGAAGATGAATCCCCACTGATGGCAATTTATTATACTCTGAACCAATTGTAGGGGCTGTCAAAATGAAAATAATGATTTCAGCTTTACAAACAAAGGAAAGCAGCAAACGGTCTTTAAATGAGCTGCCTAAAGGACACACAGCTACTTAATTCTACGTTATCAGTTCTGTTCATTCATACCTAGCACCCAGTCTTGGACAGAAAACTTTTTTAAAAAAAAATTTTTATGAGTTTATTTGAGCAAAACTGAGGACATATGCAGGGCAAGATCTCAAATGCTCCCAGGAAATTTCTTAAGTGACATGAAATCAGGTAGAAATTTTATAAGGTCATACTTATTTTCTAAGATAAAGAAAAAGGGTAAAGGATTTTTTAAAAAAGTACTTCTCAAGTACAGAAGTGAGCCCAACAACTTGATATACACTTCAAAGGTCAGATCACTGCAGTAGATCATGCATGGACAGGATTTCTCCCTGGGCAATCCACTGAGGCACTCTGGCGAATTATTTGGGTCATTCATACATGTCTTTTTATGAGAGATAGCCAAGACTATGGACAAAATCATCAAGAGCATCAACATTCTACTTCAAAAACTCAGTGTGCTGCATCACCTAACCTCTTGGTTACTCCCTGGATTCAACTCCTGGCTCTTTACTTTAAATCAAACTTTTATATAAATGTTTCTCTTTTTCATTTTAGTCACAACCCCTTTAAGATGCTTAATTTCTAGGATCCTGAAGCACCTGACCTTTGCTTTTTTTTAATTAACTTTTTCCAGCTTTATTGCGGTCAGATTGATAAAAATTGTATACATAAGGTGTAAGAGAGAGTGACTAATCCCCATTAAAAGAGTATTTTAATGTATCAAACCGCCACTATTTTCTATTTTTTAAAAATCTTACCAAAAGGATCACTATATAATAAAAATGTTACAATTATCTATAAACATTACAACATGCATCTACATGGATACATACTACACTTTGTATGATAAAGCCTAGAATCACAATTGCATAAATGATTTCTAAAAACGAAGTTTTACACACTAAAAAGCTTATCTTTAAAAATGATAAATCAAATGAATACTACCCTATTGCTCAATGAGTGCCTAGCTTCAAAAGTATCAAGTTTTAAACTATCTATTTATTATTAAATTATCCAGTAAGCTTACTTTTACTCATGCAAAAAATATTAAAGGAAGTATTCATATTGATAGATACTGAAGTGAAAAAAACCCATGCAACATTGGCTTAAAATATTTTTTCTTTTTAAGAGTCTAAAAAACAGGACAAACTAGAAAACAGGACAAATGATACTTAAAATTTAAACATAGTAGGGAGCAAAGAGTAAAAAGGTGGAGGACATAGGAATTTTTTGGGCAGTGAAATTATTCTGTAAGATACTATAATGGTGGACATGTCAGTATATCCATTTGTCAAAACCAAATGTAAACCATGGACTTTGGGTGATAATGATATGTCAGTGTAGGTAGGTACATCAACTGAAACAAAAGTGCTACTCTGATAAGGGAGGCTGAACATGTGTGGGGCAGTGAGCATATCTGAAAACTATATCTTCCACTCAATTTTACTGTGAACCTAAAATTGCTCTAAAATATTAAGTATGTTTTAAAAAATTTAAACGTGGAACTTACTCGGTGGATGCAGCAGATGGCTTTGACTTTAACTCTTCACCTAATTAAAAAATTAAGATATTATGAAAAAAATTCATAATCAGAGTAAATATTTTAATGAATGTAAAGAGAAACAATAGGGCCGGCCGAGTGGCCTAATGGTTAAGAACTGGCTTGGGACGCCAGAGGGCCCCGGTTCGGATCCCACATATGAGGGCCAGTGACACTGCCTTCTACAGCTAAGATGCTGAACAACAGCTCACCCTGGAGCTGGGCTGCTGTGAGTCACCGGGCGATGGCGTAGGCTGCAGCCCCTGTGGCAGTGGGTTGCCATGGGCT